AAGACACAGCAAGTCAAACTATGGGCAATAATAGCAGTAGATCAAGCTACTACTGAGCAGTATAATAGCAATTCACATCATACTGAACCAAACCACTTTGGATAGGGTTGTAAAAAAGCAATTCTATTTATTTACTTATTCTTTATTAATATTTTATTCCCTATTACAAAATAATACAAAGGGCAGACTTATTGGCATCAGGCATTCACTACCTGTCAACCCATGGAGTGGTGAGAATTTGACGTAGGTCTAGCAATATAGAGTTAAAAAAATCATATGAGCTCTCATGCGATCTTGTGGGAAGAAATTTTTTTAAACGATTCGGAGAACATAATGTAACAATGACTTTACAACTCATCTCTGTAACTGGAGTTCTACAATTCAACGTGTTGTCAATGTGTAGGCTAATATTTTTAACAGAATTATAAAACATAATTATACATATATAATACCACTGTAATAAATAAGAGGTGGGTCTATAAGATTAATCTTAGCAAGCAACCTTAAGCTACCACTCCATATTAACCCCTCGATCCCAATAAGAATCCCATACAGTCGCATGCGCCCGGTAAATCCAGAGCGGTCGCATGCGACCGCACCCACTCGCGGCACTTAAAACCATTAAAACTTATATTTAGAGACTACTTTTCTATGAAGAAGTTTGACATTATAAAAGCTATACAAAATTTTCTATATAAAAGTCAGGTGATAACAAAAACAAAACATACCAAGCAAATGTCGGCAGCGTGAAAATTACAATTATTTCAATATATTAATTGATTATTTACGTAAAAAGATAAATTATATTCACACAAAAACTTTCATTACAATTTTATAATAAAACACTATGCTAAAACACTAGAAAAATCCAAAAATCAACGCAATAACATTTACGCGAAAATAGCGTACGAAATGTACGAAGATTATAAATAAATATCCATAGGATAACTTGACTTTCTACTGCACTAGAGGATAGAAAATTTCATATTGATTCTATAATGGCAAACTTCTTCCTAGAAAAGTTGTCTCTAAATATAAGTTTTAATGGTTTAAAGTGTTGTGGGTGTCTATCAATGAGGAAGAGAATTATGTTAACCCTGAAAGTATAACTCAAAGTTATTCTCATTTTCTCATCAGGTCTTTGATTTTTTTTCTTTTTCAGTTTTGTTTTTCTCCATATCTTTCGTATACTGATTCAACACGCTTAATTCCATAGCCTTTTCTTCGAAATACTTAAAAATTTCTGGTTCAACTACAAGAAACTACTGTATAAAAGTAAATTTGAACTTTAACATTCCACACAACAACGATTACCGCCATTTCAGTTTTTTTTAATTCAAAAGTATTCCTGACGCTTCATTACGCGTCACAGGCTTTTCAGTATTATTATATCACCCTTGATTGATTGATTCCAAAGTTTGAAGGACTTTGTACCAAGAATCTCTCAAATGTCCACATGCATCCTCTTTAACTGACTAATGACTCAGATTTACTCTCTTTAGCGTTTTTGATTTAAGTCATGAAAATAAAGTAAATCCTTGAAGCAACATGAAGAAGCGAAAAGCATCTGTGCAACAATTAGCAGCCGCAGTTGCCACTAAAATTAAAAAGTGAGCAGAGCAAGGAATGAAAAAGTGTTTTGAGTTCCAAGATAATGGCAGAAAATACTTCTTTAGCCTCCCTTTTCAAAATTAAATCTCTTTAATTTGTTCAAGATATAAAAAAAATTGTCAGAAATTTGCCGCCCTAGGCTCTAGCCTAGTAAGCCTGCTGGTAAATCTGCCACCTTATCACATGGCTTTCTTGACTTATTGAACTAAAAAACTAAATAATAAACAAAAAACTAAATTATAGCCATTATACAAAACCATACTAGGCAAAGCAAAGACCTCATCTTATTATAATATACTTCTATATTCATTAATTTCAACACTATAATATTATCTATTGTTTCTTAATCTCTCCAATCTAACATTGAGAGTTTCCTTCCACTGTTCCTCTGATATGCTTTGTGCCCATTCTGGAATTGAAGCCTGTGGTAATGCAAAGTTTGCCATTGCAGATATAACCTGAAAATTATAGAAGTAATTAATAATTGTTTTCAATTCTAAAATTCAACAATAGTTTATTACTACAACAAAGTGATGATGAAAACATTGTCTTATAAAAAAATTAAAATTTACTATTTATATAGAAGCTAGGATTCAGCTCAGGGTTTAGGTCGCACCATAAACTTCATAGTATTCTAAGTGCCCATTTATGATGTTACACAATTTTTTACATACAAAATTGTAAGAAATCCTGTCTAAAGATTAAAGAAAATTCAAAGATATGTTCTTAGTGATCTAAGTTAGATACTAAGTCACACTAAATATACCCCTGGTCAAGTGATTTTAATAACTAGTTTTGGACGTAATTTGTGTACCTACGTATTTAATACAATATACCTTATTTTTAATTTTAATTACAGTGTAAAATAACAAACATATCAAATATGTATACTTAATATATCGATTAAGCAAGATTACTAAAGAAAATGGTTAAATGTAGTAGTTGTTATTTTTCTCAATAACGAGCCCTAAAACTTTGTATACATAAGTTAATAAAGTAGATCTTTTGAACAATAATAATTTGAAAGTGCTTATTTTGGGTAGTTAATCTAAAGGTGAGCTAAATCCTGTAACCGTAACCCTATCTAGAACAATATCTAAGAACTTATTGTAAATATTACCTGTTGGGCTCTTTCACTATCCATTTCTATGGAATCTGAAGGTCTAGGTGTGTTCCATACTTCTCTAACAAGTGATGTTTCTATGGGTTCTATTGGAGGTACATTTTGTACAGATGTTTGATTCACCTCATCATTCTGTAAACGAATATAAAATTTAGATGAATAAGTACATATTATGTACACAGTGTCACGGAATCAAAGATACTTGCCTGAACATCGTCATCACTATCAGAAAAATCCATACTCGCTTCATATGGTCCTTGTGGAAGTGGTTGATAACCAAAATATTCGCTTTGTTCATCATCACTTTCCTCATTGTTGTTACCATTATTGAGATCAAGCCTAGGGGGTGGAGATAAATTGTTTGGGGAATTTTCTGGTGGCTCTGGACCGTCGCATACCATTTTATTTATAATTGTTTAACAAATACAAAGTAGAAATAGATGACAAGAATGATACTGCCACTAGGATTTGTTAAATCTTATTAGTTTGTTATTTCTAAATGCTAATTGCTATAATTTTGACATTATTTCATTCATAGACAAATAGATACATTATTTACAAAATGCAAATATGATTTTTGGCTTGGATACTTACCCTATAAGCCAAGTCCTTTCATTCGGGATCTTCGTTTTTATAGATTTTTTTCTTCACAATATGCTGATGCGTAGTTTTTGGATGATTTCGGCGACGACCCAACTCATCGGACCGTCGATGACGACAGTTACTCAAGTTCATTAGGCGCCTAAGCGACCAAAATAATTTGAGGTTTATATCAATACCGAAGCACTTTTTTCGTCGTTTTCTCTAATAGTTCACATGCGCAGACACTTATTACACAAACTTTTACGTATCAAAATCCACCTCACCATTATTTAAATTATAAATAGTCTTGGGTACAAAACTCGATTTATTAAAATATCGATATTTTCTCACAAAATTATAGATATGTATCGTTAACATTTTTAATCGTGATATATCGATATTCGATATTTATTTTGGAGTCTCAAATTCGTATCAATTTTGATATATTTTTCAAATGTTATATCGATTTATAATTAAATAGACAAAAGAAAAGCATTCATTTGTTGTTGTTGTTTTTTTCGCTTTCAAAAAGTCCAATAATAATATTTTGCCCATCATTCAAAACATGACTACATAACAATATTTATCAAGCGATAATTATCGATGATATTTCAAAATATCGATACTATATACAGGTTGTTATTGTAAGCACCGATATCCTTGAAACCAGTGGTTTGGTTTCAATTATAGAACGTAAATTCAATAAATTAAAAAAAAACGCTATTTTCTTTCATAAAATTTAAAAGTTTCTGTCCGACACCATCCTATTATACGGGACCGTGGATAGAGCTTTTTTAAAAAAAAACTATTTAATACACGACACAATATAATTTAATTAGATTCACAATAAGGAATCAATAACTTATAATAACTAGGACTTAGAAAGATTTTGCACTTGTGTTACTATATGTAACGACTTAGTAACGATGACTGAGACTAGAATGAGACTTGAAGATTGACTGAGACGGAATGTAGACTTCTTGTAGACTAACTGGCGTTTGTCGGGAGGTCGGTTATATAGGCCTTATGTCGCTGTGAAAGAGATGCGTTAACCAATCTCCTAACATTGATGGGGTATAACAGTCCGTAAATTCATGGATACCCTATGCGCCCGAGTGACGTAATCACTGTAAAATCACCTTCCACGCTAGCTACCTACATAACATTCCAATAAAACACAATAGGTACACATAATCTGTGATGTAACTTTTCCTTCATACTTTTATCCAGGACAGGCAAAAATTGTGGAATTAAGGAAAAATTTAGATTTTACTGAAAAAAAAAATGTTATTTTTCATTGAATTTACGTTCTATAAGTGAAACCAAACCACTGGTTTCAAGGATAACGGTGTTTACACTAACATTCTGTATATTGATATATTTTTTTTTCACTTGCCCATCCCTATGGTGAAGCATAGATTTAGTGAGTGTTGTAGCTACTCGCTACGAAAATAACGATCTTTTTATAAATACTAAGCACACAATACCAAATTTCGCTGTTATTAATAGATGCACGAGTCGCGCATTCATAAAGCTACCAGTTTGGTGAAGGACACTTAAGGTATCGAGTTCGCATCCCACATCGGACGCATTCACTTTTTGTGATTCTACATGGTATGAAATATAAAGTTTGGACAAGAACAATAAATAATTTGTGGCAGCACACCGTTAATAACTACTTAAGATGAACTTCCTAGAAAATATTACACTCCAGCGTTCTGGTCGTACTCGCACAAAATCAGACTCTCAAAGCAATGTAAGTCAATATGATAACGAATTACTAACTCAAACAATGGACGACACGGCCACTAGTGTCCCAGATATGAGTAAGGATGACTCGTATGATCAAGAATTAATAGCAAAGTTAAAGAAACAAGTAGAGAAATTGACTCTTCAATTAAGTAGTGCTGAGGAAGAAATATCTACATTAGATAATCTTACATTAGAAAACAACAATTTAAAACAGTCAAACGAGGAGCTTCAAAAGATTAATATACTTTACAAAAAAAAATTACCAACAGCCCTGCAAAAAAATCTAAGAAAAAACTATCTGCCCCCAAAAAAATTCACAAAGCAAACAAACACAAACCGTGCAACTAAATATTACCAAAAAAAGATGAATGATAAGGGTTCGCAAACAACTGTTTTGGTTTCTGAGACAGTAGAACAGAAAAAACCTGTGGTGAAAACAGGAATACCTCACTCTGAAAAACAGTACCTGAGAAGAATAAAAAATAGTAAGTTATGTATTATTAGTGAAAATAAATATAATAAAATACGCAAAATTGCAGAAGGTAAGCTTCAAAACTCAGAAATATGTCACTACCTAATGCCATACGCTGGAATAAATAATATGATACGTGACTTGAAACCCAAGCTAAAAAAAATTACTTTAGATGACTACTGTATCATTTTGATTGGAGAGACAGATTTCAAAACAACCAAGGAGTATTCAAACATAAGAAAAGTGCTAAATAATATTCAACATACTAATGTTATACTTTGCATGCCCACGTACAAAATATGTGCAAGTAATGTAACAATGTATAATAGGAGTGTAGAACATTTTAATCATCTCCTTTACCAAGACATATTAGCCCACGAACATGCTTTTTTTGTTGACACAAACAAAAACCTTACATGGGATTACAAAATGTACAAAAAATACCGGAACAGTAAATAATTTTGGCATGCAAATAATTTTCGAAGACATCACTGAGCTCATAAACTATGTGAATAATACTCACTATACGAATGCACATTGTGAGCAAATTGAAGAGGTAAAAAACCAACAGACAACAGAGCAGTTTTTACTATTATAAGCACCTGAATCTAATTCATCAAAACATTGGTGGCCTACTGAACAAGAGTAATGAGCTTACTGTATGTCTTGAAGAAACGTCAGATAAAGATACTGAAAATGACGTAATCTGTTTATCAGAACATTTTATGATGGCTGGTCATTAAAAGCAATTATTAATCCCTAATTACATTTTGGCAGCATCCTACTCACGAAAAGATTGTAAAAGAGGCGGAACGTGTATTCTTACAAAGAAAGGTCACCAATATAAAGAAATTTCAGATATAGCCAAACTCTCCATAAATGGGGTATTCGAATGTTGCGCTATTGATTTAATTAATTACAAAACTATTGTTGTCTGTATTTATAGGGTACCAAAGTCTAACAAATTAACTGTATTTTTTGAACAATTGGAAAAGCTGTTACTATACATTTCATATAGAAATAAAACAAAGAGAAATGTCGTAATTGCAGGTGATTTTAACATTGACTGCCTTAAGCGTAATAATACTTTCATGGAATCGGAATGCTTGCCCTTAAATTTTAATCTGAAATTGGAAATAAATCAGCCAACGCGACTTACGAGCATGACGTGCATCAATAACTTTGCACATAATCTGAAGAAGTGTAAATCCGATGTATTCGACTTTGGCTTATCAGACCATACAGCACAAATATTGAAATTACCAGTTCATAAAACTTTCATAATTAACCAGTGGCAAATAAATAGACGTGACTATAGTCAAGAAAACATGCAAAAATTTAAAACATATTTACAGTATGATTTCTTAAATTTACGCGAACACTACACACTGAATAAAGCTAAATTTACGGATTTTATCGCGTTTATTTCACTACTTTTACTTATTTTTAATTCCGAAGTCTGCAGTCTGCGAACATGTTCAAGATCGTCCCCACCATTACATTCGATTTGATAAACCACAAATCCTCGCAAAAGAACACCGATTCCTATCTAGGATGATACGCGAGGCTATTGAAATTAAAAAAAAAAACATCCCAATTTCAATAGAGAAGATGGATGGGTGCTGCCACCTACTTGGGATGGGATGGGACCAAAAATTAATATTCAAAAACTGAAGGTAGCCGGATTAACTATAACATTGGGGCGTCAAACATCTCAGTCCTCTCGGTGACCATGGGTGCTGTAAAGCACCCGAAACGTCGGGAATTAAAAATAAGTAAAAGTAGTGAAATAAACGCGATAAAATCCGTAAATTTAGTTTTATTCAACATATTTACAGTGTATTTCTTTCTCTGAAATCTATAATACTGATAATCCAAACACAGCCTTCAATGCGTTTATAGATACTTTCAAACTTCTTTATAATTTATGTTCCCCTTTAAAAAAAATTACCATTAGAACTAAAGAAAAATCACAATGGCTAACACGTGGAATAAAAATTTGTAGCAAAAAAGAGAGCTAATGTGGAACTAAAAGCTTAAGCGAAATGAGATAAACAAAATAGAATTTAAATCTTTATAAAAAATTATCCAAGTAACACAAAGAGTTCCAAACAACCATAAAATATAAACGGCGATTAATAAATCTAAAGCGACGTGGGCAATAATAAATAGATCAAAAATGAATGTGCCAAGGCATATGATAATTTTCATAAAAGTAAGTAATAAAACGTTTACTAGCCTACAGGAGATCACGAATGCCTTTAACAATTTTTTATAGATAAAATAAAACCTATATCGGGCACGGGAAAGCAAGTAACTTCAAATATTGTCAAATCAACTCAGTCAATGTTTATGGCACCGAGTACACCATACGATATTACTTAAAATCATAAGATCACTAAGAAATACTACAAGTGTAGGGCATGATGGGATCTCAACTAAAATTATAAAGTATGTTGCTTATTAGATTTGTGATCATCTCAGCCATATTTTGAATATTTGTATAAGCACAGGATCTTATCCTGAAAGTTTAAAAATTCAATTGTTAAGCCATTGTTTAAAAAAGATGACAAACAAAGTATGAACTGCTATAGACCTATTGCGCTTGTGTCTATACTCTATACTATCAAAAGTTTTTGAAAAATATATATACTTAGAAATTTATAACTTTTTAGAAAAATTTAAGATTCTTACGGAAGACCAAAAAGGATTCCGAAAAAACAAAACCATAAATATGGCTATTTTTGATTTTTTAAATAGAATGATGATGAATGTTGATAAAAAGATACCGGTATGCGCTCTATTGCGACATGACTCAGACTTTTGATTATGTTGACCATGACATTCTGTTCAGTAAATTAGAAGCTTATGGCATCAGAGGAAACGTATTAAATCTCATGGAATCCTATCTTAAAAATCGAACACAATATACCGAAATTTCTAGAATAAATATTAACACCAAAAAAGAAGAAATATGCATATCAAACAAGCAAATAGTTAAATACGGTGTCCCACAAAGGAGTGTGTTAGGTTCTTTGTTGTTCATCATCTACATAAATGATTTACCAAAAATTACAAAATATCCAATATCGCTATTTGCCGATGACAGTACGGTAACAATAAACTCTATCAATAAGGATAAATTTGAAAGTGAAATTAATAATACAATTAATTTAATAATAAACTGGTTAAATAATAATAATTTAAAAATTAATCTTAAAAAAACTAAAATAATGTACTTCAGTCAACGCTTAGCAACACCAAATATTAACGTTAATTACCAAGGGACAGAAATCAACCAAGTAGATACAACAAAATTTCTAGGTGTAACCATTGATAAAAGTTTGAACTGGAAAGCGCACACAGAAGAACTAAACAAAAGAATTAGTTCTTCTGCTTATGCGTTCCATAAACTCTCATCCGTCGTAAGTACCGATGCGTTTCTCACGGCTTACCATGGTATTGTTGATTCCATCTTGAGGTTTGGCATCATATTCTGGTGAAATTCTACTAATTAGGAAATTATATATAAGTCCCAAAACAGGTGCATCAGAGCTATGTTCGGTCTTAAAATTACTAATAGCTGCAAACCATACATATTTCATTGAGCACAACATTTTGAGCTTACCCTCCTTATTTATATATGAAGTAGCAAACTTCGTTCAAAGTAACCCTAAATTGTTTAACAAACTATCGGACGTTACAATTCGCAATCGCAGGGATAATAGTAGGTTATGCGCAGTTGGTACAAGAAAGGCATTGATGCATAAAAGTATTTTCTGTCTGGCACCACTAATATATAATAAAATCCCCAAACACATCAAACAATTGCCTACCAGACTTTTTAAGCTACATCTTAAAAAAATATTTGATAGCCAAATGTTATTACAGCTTGCCTGATTTCTTAAGTGATTGATTTTTTTAAGCTAAATAATGAATTGCGACATTTCTCCAATGCGATTTTATGAGATGCCATTGAAATTTTTGCACATCTAAAATTATGAACGTAGGGTTAGTTAATTTGTCTTGAAGAATAATTAATATACTGTTGAGCGCCTAAGTTGACATCTGGCACTAGCGCCATCTAGTGTCGGGTAACAGCGAGTAGAACTTTCCAGAAAATGATATGACTATTCTTACGACCAACAGCACCATCTAGTATCGAACAGAAGAATTAAGCTTTCTGGAAGCCACGCACTCGAACTTTCTGCGCCTGGTCAGCTGGCGCGCGTATTTACTTGAATATTCTGGACGTTTCGGTGAAAAATGTGTATTTAAAGGCGCTGCAAGACATGCCGATTTTACCTAAGGACGAGATGGAGGGTGTCCGTATCCGAAGTCAACGCCAGCAGGAGACGGACCAGAGACGATTTGGTGGTGCAACGCCGCAGACGTCAGAGGGCCAAGTGCCAGCCACGGAGGCTGGTCCGTCAGCAGCTCCTACACCTGTAGCACCTGACTTAGGTGCTCTGATGGTGATGCTGCAGGAACAGGCCCGCCGACAGGAGGAACAGGCCCGTTGGTTGAAAGAGCAGCAGGAGGAAAAGGCCCGCCGATAGGAAGAGCAGATGCTCCTCGTGAAGAACATTCACGCTAACTTCGGGAAAGAGATAAGGGAGGTGAAGGATAGGGTTGCTCAACTAGACAAGCACCTGTCGGAAGCTGAAACCCAAATCAAGGAAGCTAAAACCCAAATCGACCAAGTGAACAATCGGGTTGATTACGTGTTGGCTGACGTGAAGAAAACGCTGGACGACCTCAAACTGGGGGATGGAACTACAGCTCCCGTAGTAGCTAAAACACCTTCGCTACGTGGGTTCAAGGTGTCACCGTTCGACGGGACTTCTTCCTGGTCAGCCTACAAAATCCAGTTCGAGGCTGTTATGAAGGCGAACGGCTGGAATAAAAGTCAGGCCATGACTGCTCTCACACTAGGCCTGCGCGACCAGGCCTTAACAGTTCTGGAAGCTCTCGCTGAGGAAGTGACTTATGAGCAACTCCTTGAGGCATTGGAGGCGAGATATGGCGACGCTCACCTGGAACACGTCTTTCGTGCGCAGCTTAAAGATCGCGTGCAGCGCCTCAACGAAAACCTGCAGCAGTGGGCTCTAGAGGTGGAGAAGCTGGTGCGAAAAGCATATCGGTCTGTACCTGCGCTCATTGAAGGGAACCTGGTGCAGACATTCGTCGACGGCATCCGCGACCTTGAAGTCAGAGCTGCTGTGAGGCTCGGGCACCACGATTTTTTTTTTAATAAAATTTTTTTTTAGATTTTTCAAAAAAAAATAATTTTTTAAATAATATTTAAAAAAAAAATTTTTAACCTAAAAAAAAAAAAAATTAAAAAAAAAAAAAAAAAAAAAAGAGGAGGAAGTAAAGTAAAAATTTTATTATTTTTTTTATTTTAAATTTTTTTTTATCATTTTGGGTTTTTTTTTTGTTTTTGTTTTAAATTATGT